GTAGCTCAGTTGCTCGCTATGTTTGTTTGGACCGTGCGACGGAGATTTGCTTGAGGTGAAAAGTTTCAGTCTCAGCACACAATGTAAGAGAAATCGATCAGATTGTCCGCGAAAATCTTACCGGAAATTATACTGAATACTTTCGCAGGTATCACTAGAGAACGTGTTTTAAAGTTTGCGAGGTTTGTATACAACACGATGGTTGCAGTCATTGATATGTCGCTTTAAACGTTAAACGAGATTTAAGCTTAAATCTTTCTAGATTTTTTGCATAATTTGCTGTGACTGAAACTTTGCCAATCCCGTGAAGTTCTTTCGTCGCACGGGTCACGCAGGTATGTCGAGCAACTGGTATTTGCGCAACTTTCTGTGCGTGCCAAGATCTAATCTCACCATCGCTTGAAAAAAGCACTTGCTGGAGGTCGTCCACGAACTTAATGTTCTCTGCAACATTGGCCGTATTGTGAACGACTTTATTACTAAGATTAGATTTTGGTGCGCACAGAAAGCAGAAAGCTGCGTAGGCGAAAGCGCCAGTTGCTCGACATACCTGCGTGGCCCGTGAGACGAAATAACTTCACGGGATTGGCAAACTTTCAGTCACAGCAAATTATGCAAAAAATCTAGAAAGATTTAACTTAAATCTCGTTTAACGTTTAAAGCGACATATCAATGACTGCAACCATCGTGTTGTATACAAACCTCGCAAACTTTAAAACACGTTCTCTAATGATACTTGCGAAAGTATTCAGTATAATTTCCAGTAAGATTTTCGCGGACAATCTGATCGATTTCTCTTGCATTGTGTGCTGAAACTGAAACTTTTCAGCTCAAGCAAATCTCCGTCACAAGGTCCAAACAAACATAGCGAGCAACTGAGCTACTAGTATATGTCCGTGTTAAAACACACGAAAGGACTCTAAAGCACACTTCACTCTGACTGGGCAGAAAACACAAAGATTTTCTGGCACCAATCAGATGGCAGAACGACTGCGACAGTTTGGAACTAGTCTTGTAAGACAATGTCCCCAGGGGTCTTCATGCTACTAACTTGAAATCGACCCACAGCCCCTAGGTCTCCGAGGATGCATACGTCAGTAAATCTCACGCATACCTTGACATCGACGTCCAAAAAATGGAGAAGGACAGGAACACGTGTAATTGTTAATCCCATCAGTACAGGTTCCACCGTTTAGGCAGCGATTACTGGAACATTCTTCGAATTCTTTAAAACAAGAGAATATTATTCAAAAAGGGGAACATGTAGATCAATTTCAGGCGACTTTTAAAAGCATTTTTTTCCAAAATCGAGAACAACGTCACTCGATTTTAAAACCATTGGGCCCTTATAGATTGTGCTATCATAATTTTTGCCATAATTTGGAGAAACGAGCACAATTTTTGCACTTTTCATAAAAGTAGCACTACATTTTTTTAGCTTTTTTTTTTTTTTTAAAAATCTTTACCAGAGTCATGACTTTTTTGCTCTCTCTGATTAATTGTTTTCAACTTAAGTCCATGGTTTACACTATTTTCATTTTTGCAATGACATGATACCGAGAAGAAGTTTACCCCAAAACTGAGTCATTCGTGGAGGTCTAGAAAACTGGGCACACCGAAAGTAAAGATTACGTTAGTCCAAGTCCCAGCTTACGCGGGCTGTACAAAATAGCGTCGACGAGAAACGTGATGCTAACATCGTAAATTTTGATACATACACTGTTTCTAGCCTGGAATTAAGTCTAGTAGTTAATTATGATTTATCAGAGCAAGTATGTAACTCAAAATAAAGAAGATGTCTTGCTTTATCAACAATAAAATAAATAATTGCACTTGTTTTCTGTTTCTTATTTAAAAAGCATACTTTAACAGAAAGTAGTATCATTTTTAAAAACGAGCATAACATGCTACTTTAGCTGGCACAATCTAGAAGGGCTTAAGAACAATCCCCAGTCAGCCTTTACCAGTAGCATCCTTTCCACGGGGCTAAAATTCCGCGAGTTATTAACTTTATCGCTTAAAACCTTTTTGTGGCCTTGATATCTTTCCTAAGACAAACTATGCATCAGGATTCCTAAAAATTTATATTTTCACTTGATTAACAGTTAATTCCTAGCTGTTCAGGCTCCTCTTCCATTCTTTTTTCTTTCAAACAATCTCTTCTCTTTATTATATGATCTATTCAAAATACGATAAATTTGATCCGGTAATTCAAGGCACGGTGAAAGTTATTTGTTTTTTCCTTCTGTTCTTATTAATTCTACTGAATATATCTACATTACCTTCACAAGTTCTCCCTTTGTGAGTGCGAGGGCAGATGCAGGTAAAATTTCTTTTCTTGTTAACACAAGTTCCACCGTTCAAACATGGAGAGCTACTGCATTCATCATAATCTGGCAATATCAAATGCTTTTATTAACGACAAAGAATATTCATGGGGGATCATTATACTCATTTTGAATTACGAGAAGCTAAAGTAAACAGTAAACAGTATTCATGCTAATTTTAAGTGCCGCAATGATAACCTCAAACGTCAAAAAAATACTCGCAAATTGTAAGGAGGTGATTGAATATTCTATATTAAACACCATTTTCAAAGGAACAAATCACAATCCATTGAAAAAATTGGTCGTTTATAATGTTAACACCATTTTGAGCCACCTTTAAATTAAGATCACAGTCGTAAGGGGCAAACAGAAAGATAAAATGGGAGTCAATTAATTTCCTCGTCCATCCTTGTTGCATATCTCATTTATAGGGTTAGGGAAGTGTGCTGCCAAAACATGCACGTAATAAAATATCTTCGAACCTTTTTTACATGTATATTGGTGACAAGTTGAGCAATCGACGTCATTCCACATGTATCCATGACTAGGACCAAGACTGTGTACGCAGTCCTCCCCGCGAAAGTCATTAGGTTGACTCTCCGCCCAGTACCGGAATTTATCTGGACACCCATCCACCCAGGAGAACAATCCCTCTGTGGCAATGTCATTCAAGCCGATCCAGGCCCTATCACCATGGTGTCTGTGTTGAATGTAGACATTCTCTTCCTGACTTTCGATAGCGGGCAAGTTAGCACCCATGCCTCTGCAGATTCTATTGGCTTTGGACCATGTCTTACAAGTATCACTGGTGTAGTAACAGGAGCCATTGTAGAAACTCCAACCTGGCTCACACGCATCTGCGTTAGGTAGAGAAACAACAAATGTTCGTTTGAACTTGAATATCTTAAAAAATAGCATACTAAATATTGTCGTTTGAAAGAGTGTTGTTCATCGTGGTTATAAATATTATTCTGTAATTGTTAGTTTGTTTATTACATCATGATGTCATATTATCGATGGCAGTCGTTTAATCAACAAATTGATGGTGACAATTTGAAACAAGCCATCAAACGTTCATTTACTGGGGTATTCATAAAGCAGTTTACACCTTCGTTTCTTTCGAGTAACAATTTACGTTTAGGAAAAATTTAACTCAGATCATAATGGCAAATGATTTGTTTTATGCAATCATCAAAGCTTGCTGTGTATCAGACGTGATATACCCAACCTGGCATAACTGCATATGAAACTGAGAGAGGATCATGTTGGTTCACAAATAACTCCTTCACACATGCTCTGAAGCCAGTCTTGTTGATGTACTACAAAGGCAAAGAGGAATGCAATCTAACGGCTGAGAAGATCACAGTTAGATAGCCGTAAAAAGCATAACCGTAATATAGAAACAAAGCGGATTGTTTATAGAGTTCAGTTGATAACTGTCAACTTCAAAATTGATATCCTTTTGCACCCACATTATACTAAGGGTGTGTCATTTTAAGCAAAGAACAGATATAACTTGCCTCAGGC